CGCCGGCGTATATTAATCATTTTTGATTGATATTTTCTTCATTTTCGCCTATATTTTTTCTACAATTTTATATTACAAGTTACAACTTGTTTCATACTATTAAACGTTTTTATAAAATTTTTTTATTGATGAAATCGGCAGCAAAATCGCAATTTTTTTTTTTTTTTTTTTTTTTTTTAAAGTAAATTTCTATTGGTCGACTGACTTCTTGCGAATCGAATCGCGAACATTTACTGCCATCGTCACTGGCTTTTCTGTCCTCAGCTTATCAAGCGGACGGTAGCGCGCAAAATCTTATACTTATATTCTAAATATTTCTATTACTGTGAGGTTTTTTGTTGAGGTTTTTTCGTTGCTTAATCTCTCAAACATTTTGATCGGTGTGACTCATTATATCGCGCAACTCTCTCAGACTGCATATTAATTATGGCGGTTTATTATGTGTAATAATATATGTTTATTATACATATATCTATATACCTTTATTTTTCATCTGTAGCATTTTTTTGGTTTTTTTTTCCAAGATGAAAGAGAAGCAGCGATTTGAGGGATTAAATAAAAATTATTGATAATAAAAGTTTATCAATTATTATTTTCGACGATCGCCATAGGGATACAAGTCGCAGATCTAGACAAATGCGCTTTATTTACATGTGCTTAGAACTGTATTTAAATGTAAAATTTCCTTCTTCGACAAAGAGCCAATGTTTACGCTTTGTGCCAACACTGCCGTGTAATTAAACAATCAATTGTTTGATATTTGAGCAACGATAATTGTAAAGCGAGTTTATAATAGCTTGGATTTTAATTCCTAAAAATCTAATAACTAAAAAGCATGTACTATATTTCTTTCTTCTAAAAAAAGATATATGAAATGATAAAAAAATTTCTTGTAGTTACAGATTAAAAATTAACAAAAAACTAATTTTTACAACTCTGATATTGAGAAAACTTCAAGTTTTAGTTGCGAACTAAAACTTTAAAAAATCGTTAAAAATATGTTAATTTGATTCGTAATTTTGAGAACTTACTTAGATATAAATTAATACAAAAAAAATCTGAAAAATTTCCACATCATATTCAGCATTGCGAATTATTTTGCAGAAAAGAAATCAGTATTTAGAAATCGGACATCTGCTCTGATCTAAAAATAGTGAAGACATCGCGAATAGTACTTAAGAAATCCTGATCATTGTTACATCGATGTTGTGCCACTGCCTCGACGATTTTCTTCCGCGAAACTATTTCCATGTCTAATCGAAATCATTATTGATTGATTTGTTTTTTGTTTTTCTTTTTTGTGAGATTGGTGTATCTTGTGGAAGAAAAACTTATTTTTGTAGAATTTTCGAATTCGCAACACATACATGATATATTGAGAATTTGAGATCGTCAGGAATTATTAAAAGAAATATTAAGAATTTGTTGACTATTTTAACCTTGATATTACAAATCTCGACTAGATATTACAAATTGTCTTATTGTTAGAAAATTGATTAATTTTTAAATAATTGACAAACACTCAAGAAAGGCTAAATTTATTTGATTATAAAACAAATCTTGCGAATGTATTTTTAAGATAAGCATGAACAGTCTTGCGAAATTGGCTGCGACCTTTTTGTTTAATTTTTAATTTAATAATTAAAAGCGGATGATTATTCCCGCGATATACGTCGTCTATAAATAGGTGCGAAAAAACGAATATGTGCATAAGAATAAAGCGGAATGAGAGAGGAAGAAAGAAAAAAAGAAAGGATGTGAAAGAGAAAAAGAGAGTTTGAAAAAAAAGATAGTGTGGAAAGATAAGGTGTTTTAAGTAACTGTGATTTTTTTGCAAATGTTTTATATATATATTATATATATGTATGTTATATACATAAATATGAATTAATTTCTACATATAATATAAACGATGTTTCGATGTCGCTGTGTTTATACGGACTAGGCTAACATATCGTTAACGAAAATAATGACGATTATTATTATGAACGATGATTATGATTATGATTATTATTCCTTATTATTGTTATTGAGCTCGAGAGTGTTGCTGATTGCTTGCTGTAAGTATACAAGGATGGATCGTACCGTCTATTAGCGTATTTCTACCGCCTCATTAAATAAATTGAAACGAAAATATTAATTTATTTCACAAAGGAGAAATTTTGTGCATTTCATATTTTTTTATGAAAAAGATTTTTTTTATTAAAAAACTTTGTTTATTAAAAAACTTTGTTATTTGTACTTACGAGGCACCATTTTATTTCGCGTCGATCGTTATTTTGTTATTTAATTTTTTTCTCTTTTTCACAATATTTTATATTTTTCTGCTGCGCATAAATACTTATTTATGCGCAGCAGAAAAGGCACTCGTACGCCATTGCTTCGCCATAAATCACCTTTTCTCCAAATGTAAATGAATTAAAAAATATAATTTTTTTTATTATTATACATGATATTCGCGATAATATTTTAATAAAACAATTAACTAACAATCTTTTAATTTATATTCTTCTGATTTTACATCGCAAAGAACATTTTATAACGAATCAAACTTTTTTGAGAAATTATTACACATTTAGTAAGATATTTGTGAGTTTCGACGTTATCTCTGGAGAAATAATACTTGTGGCGAATTAATTCCGCTGACGAATGCTATTTTTACACATTTTACGCATAATGTGTGTTGATTTAGAAACTACAATTAAACATTAATTTACAAGATATTAATGTTGCAATTTGTCGAAATTTTCAGGTAGGCAAATGATTTGAATAAATCGGCATATCTACCTCAAACTTTCTCTTCATTCTTAATTTCCCCTAAATAGTCCTTTTCGCACGCAATCTAATTAACACTCTAAGTATGCAAATTCGGAATGTCGACGTCATAAACTTCTATACAATCATTAATTAGATGTAGTAATTCGTCATATTAATTAGTTGAGCTAAATCGAAATTCACGATGATTTGTGTGAAGAAAGGGGGTGTGAAAGAAAAGGAGTATCATGTCTATAGATTACATTTGATTTTTAGATCACCCCTACCCAAATTGAAAATCAGGGTTGCTTCCCCTTCCGAGTTGCAAGTACACGCGCGCGCGTTACTGATAAGCCGGCTTTCTTTGATTTTCTGGAGTAGGACCGGCGTGCTGCCGCGCCGGCCAGAAAACCTCGCGTGCGCCGCACCCTTGTGTCGTTGGCGTCGCGACGCTTTGCAACGCGACGTAACGCAAGGATGCATCATCGCAGGTGTGCGAGTTTTCAGGTAATTCAACGATATATTACTTCGTATCGAGTGTTAATTGAGTTCTGTTTTGCCCGTAATCATCGACTATAAACGTCATAGTGATCGCGATGTTTACATGTTGTTTACAACGAGCGCTGAAATGGCTCCGTTAAATATCTCTGGATGCTTGCAAAATGTTTTCAAGAATCATCGAAATTCTGATCTGCTATTATATATAAATTTCGAAATGATGAACGAACGAGTTGCTTGAAAAGCGTTTGGACGAAATTTCAATTTCACTATTTTGATCAGATTGATCTGATTGATTAACCACGTGCAGTTTTAATAAGAGTATATCATTTGAGAGGTTTAAACGTTTATAACGTTTCTACAGCAAAAAGTTAACGCTACTCCTGATGGATTATGTATATATAAGTTATATCCTTGAAACATTGGAGGACTGTAGGAAATAAACAAAAGTTTAAATAAATAAGAAAATCTAGTTTCTGAGTTAGTTTCAAGAATACACTTACTTCAATATGGAAACTTTATTGTGTTCATTTATGTTTTCTTTATTTATGTTTCACTTCATTTATGTTTCATTTAAAATTTTTATTTAAATAAATGTATGTAAAATTGTATATAAAATTAATCCACTATTTATAATTTACAATTCTTGTGTGAACTGAAATTAATATATGTATATATTAATAGCAAGAGAATTGTAATCATAT